TGCTCTGCATTTCCTGATCCCTCAAGATTTACACCAGGGGTCAGAGCCAGCTTAAACACCTTTTCCAAGTGGCTCCAAGTTCAGTGAAAGATGCTCTGAGGACACCCAGGTGTGAGCAGCCTGTCTGTCACTAATGCCACGTCCAGCACTGATGATCCCTGGGTGCTCAGCCCTGTCAGGAGGCAGATCTGCCTCTCCCCCTGTCTTTCCCAGAGATATTTCATTTGATAACAGCAATAAGTCTCTGCAGGCAGCACCATTCGGGACAATTATTGTTCTTGTCAAGTGGTTTGAGACTCTCAGCTCTGGGCTTTGTCCTCTGTCACACCACCCAAGGCACACAATTATCACTCAGAGGGACCCTTCCTGCCATCCCTTATTGTGCTGGTGATAGCTCTGCCAACAGCGTGGACATGGAGGGATGGGAGGGGATGAAAAGCAGGGGAGCTAAGGAGACGCAGAAATAAGGAAGTAAAAATGTCAGCAGGAAGGGCTGAAATTGCTGGATGTATCAGGGCAGAGTGCAATCTTCCCAGTGGGAAGCAATGGGAGCCCCAGCACTTGCAATCAGCCCAAAATGATCGAGGAAGAGGGAATGGGGAGGGCTGACCCACCTGAGCATGCCATGATCAGGGCCATTACCTGCTCCAGGGGCTGATCCCTCATCCTTGCTTGGTTCCTGGCCTTGGCACACCCTGGTTCCCACCAGCTAAATCCCTGCTGATGATTTTGTCCTGAATCTTTCACAGCTCTGCCTGCTGTGAGACCCGAGGTGGTGCAGCTCAGTGTGCTGTGTGGCTCAGGGACAGGAGAGAAGTCAGCTCTATTTGTCACATCATTGCACTCCAGCAAGAGATCTCGGTGGCATTTGACTCCGTGGTGTGGCTCTCAGTGAAGGGAGTGATAAAAAAAATCCAACAGAAAGCAGAGCTGAGAAAAAAATGAGCTATTCACAGAAATCATGGGAAAACACAGTTGTGGGTTGTGACAGTGTTCAGAGGGATCTCAGGCTGAGGGAAGAAACAAGGATCTGACTCCATGTTTCAGAAGGCTGATTTATTATTTTATGATATATATTACACTAAAACTATACTAAAAGAGTAGAAGAAAGGATTTCATCAGAAGGCTAGCTAAGAATAGAAAAAGAAAGAATGGATAACAAAGGCTTGTGGCTCAGACAGAGAGCCCAAGCTAGCTGGGCTGTGATTGGCCATTAATTAGAAACAACCACATGAGACCAATCACAGATCCACCTGTTGCATTCCACAGCAGCAGATAATCAATGTTTACAGTTTGTTCCTGAGTC